CCGCGGGGCGGGGGATGCGCCCCGCGGGATCCTGCGGTTCGGCTCGGGTGTTGAGCCCCTCGCCGCGGCGGCAGCGCGGGGGAAGGCGCCGGTTCCAGGGGCGGGGCGGGGGCAGGGTGGCTTCTCCTGCGCTCCCCGCAGCCGGCTGCACGCAGGTTCGCTCTCGCTTCGGTTTGTCTGGCAGCTGCCTCGGTCTGCAGAGGCACTGTACGTGAAAGCCTGTGCTGCTCCGTGGCATTCCCGCTCACAGGAGCACGGCGCGGAGCTGCTGCCTCTTTGCAAACTCGCCCCAGCAAAGGACGCAGAGCGGCAACAACGTACAGAGGTAAATATTAGGAAGTAGGCAAGCAGTGGTACAGCCCTGTAATGCTAACCACATGCACGTACATCTTCGAAAGTTAAATGGCACCCTTACCGTATACTTGGTGTTTTAAAGACGTTGTTTCATAGCAAATCTTGGTATGTTATTTCTCTGGTAGAATTACATATTCTGTTGTAGTTATACAATGCTTAATTTGTTGCGTTTTGCTTTTTTCAAGTAGCACGTTTAAAAGAGTTAATGTCAGGTAACTGTAGATACTATATGTTAAAAGATACTAGAAATTATCAAATGTTAATGTATTCATATTGTGGCATAATGATTGCCTTAGAGCAGTTGTGTGTAACATTCAACATGAGATATCCTATTCTGCTATCGTTTACACGATATCAATCGAGTAAGTCACTAATCTCTTTTTTTACGTTACGTTACAGTGCATCATTTGGTCTGCAGAGCTGCCTAGAGAGAAACACAATATTTCAGTAATTCTAGACTTTTTATTGCAAGCATTTCCCTACGGTGGTTCAGATGGGAGAAGATTCTTAATTTCGATATCATGAAAATTCTTCTCAAACAAATGCCGGAGCTTAGTTAAAACCACACGCAGCTAATTCATGGCAGGTTATGGCTTGTAAAGTTACACTTTTTAAATATAAAATATTTGTGGAGGTACTTTTTGTGAGGTTCTTTTTCATGCAATATTTAGTTAAAGTCTGAAACTCATTGGAACAATGTAATATAGATAACAAAAGCCTGCATGCATTCAAAGAGTCAAATAAGGCAAATTCATGACAGAAAGCATGTCAAGGATTATTAAAAACACAGGTACTGTAACAGGGCCAGATGCTCAAGGTTGCTGGTCGTGACCTGTTGGAAGTTTAGGGAATTCCTTACTGAGGAAATACCGCAATACCCTGTTCTAAACTTTTCTTTAGCCTTCTACTGTTCACCTCTGTCAAAGGAAAGCTAACTGGCTAGACCTTTGATCTGATCTACTTACATTCTCATGCTGTTCAGTAAGTACTAGATTTTCATCAGAAGCAGAGATGAAGAAGAGAGACGTTCAGCCATTATTTATTTGGCAAGAAGTAATGACAGCACAGACAACAGATGCATTGTGTCATCAGATATTTCTTTATCATCTGCTGTCTCCTACTCTCCCTAAAATACTTGCATTCCTCAGCAGATGTACTGCTCCAGTGATTTGGTTATGAGTGCTTTCTAGGAACGTATAATAAAAATTTAAATCCAAATAGATTGATTTAAACTCTTATCCAGGGAATTAAGAATGGAAATTAATTTAATACATGTTATCTGTTCATGATCAATTTCTAAACAAAAAGAATAAGATGTATAGTGTCTATAGGTAATACTTCCAGTTTGTCTAAATCTCTTTGCTGCTTAGAAATTTGGTTTCTCCCCCTTGTTGCTCTTCTTTATGTGCATTCATGGCTTTATGTTAGTATGCAGCTTGGGGATAAATGGAATGTATATGTCTAGTCTCCTCAGAGTCATACCTGAATTCCAGCGTACATCATGAGACGGGACAGCATCTGCAGTACAGACAGTGCAGTTGGCCTTAAGCTCCCCTGAGACACTTAGCACAGAGCAGAAGAAAAGGAGCAACAGGTGAGAAAATGTTACGGAAAACCATTTTTGTTCTCTCTTATATGTTAAAAAAAACACACTACAGAAAAGCCCTTTGAGAAGGATAAACTTGTAACGTGTGAAATGAGGTGTTTGAATCTGCAAACCAGAGCACAAAAGAGTCAGGAAGTAATATAAAAGTACAATAAAAAAGTTAGTGCATATGCAGCAAACCAAGGGTTCATTTGAGGTCTGTACTATTCTCATTAGAGAGTATTAGGTCTGTACTATTTCTCATTCAACTCACCTTGACTGTAGAAGGACTGGAATCAGGCACATTGTTATTCAAGGAAAGTGAAAGAATTCCTCTAAAAGGCAACTGGAGTGTGAAGTAACCTCCCTGATGCGCTTTCTTTTGACCATTTACAGGAGACGTCCTATTTTTAAAGTTTCAATTATGTTGGTTAATATAACTACTGTAATCTCTTTATTTGTACCAATAGAGGTGGCAATAGTGCCAGTAAAGAGTACACCAAGACCCTTTAGGAAAAGCTATCAGTGATTAGCCAAGAAGCAAACCAGGAATACTTTGTTTCTATCTGTAAGTTGTCAGGAGGTCATAACTGTTGTTGGGTAACAACCGGGGGGGATGAATACCTGTTTCTTAATTTGCAGATTTGAATACCACAGTCATTCTATATTGGGTTACAATTTAAGAAAAGTCAGCAAGCTTAGCTAAGTAAAATGTGACCATCCCCCAACTCTGCGCTTCCTTTTTTTTTCATCAGTGCTTTGATTTAATTCTTTTCAGTTCATTTCCAAATTAGTTCAAATGCGTGATTTTAACTTGGCCTTGTTTGTTTGTTTGTTTGTTTGTTTTCTTTCTGTATTTTCCTGGTCATTTTACTATGACATAATTAGTAGATTTTTATATTCACTTTTATATCACAAACCATGTGACCACTTTTCATTATGCAGCAGTCACTAATTTTTAATTAAATTTGGGGATAATACAGCCAGACTCTTCACACAGGTATTTCATGAGTATGAATAATAAATGGAAAAATTTGAAACCTTTGTATTATTGCGGTGCCATTTTGGCTATTATCTACATTTCAGGAGTGCTTCTTCCCGAGTTGGTATGTGTAGAGCTTCCACATCTTGGTTTTTATATCAGGAGACGTTAGTCCTACCTGTGTCTGGGATTCTGCCAAAGGACATCAAGAAGAGGCCGGACTGTAGCTGACTCATGCACTAAGAGGTATGAAGCTTGGGTACAAACGTTGTAAGCATTTCATGGTAAGTCACAGTAAGCCATTGCCATAACTACCTAACGTAATTACACAAGACCAGTATATTGCTTTCTGCTTCAGAAATTGCTACAGGTTCGCTATAGGCTTTTCTTTCCTTGCCCACCTAAAGTTTTCAGATTAGTTTTATTTCTGTTTATTAACATTCATACAAGCAAGAGAGTTACCTAATTTCAGTGGACCGTGTGGACAGGAATAGGTAGGAGAACAGGTAGAGAACAGGAAGGCATCTACTGCTGAATTCTTTACAGGTCCTTGTATACATTTGTAATGTTTCCAATGCATCATAAACTGAAGGATCTTCTACTGTTCCGAGATAGACAGTATGCGTGGCATTCAGTAGCTGGGCCTGCAGCATAAGAATTTGTTGCGCTTACCATTTGTATTGCTTGTCACCGTTACGGCCTCTCCTGATGCTCATCTTTCGCTCAGCTAAGGATGGCTGCAAGAAACGTCTCTGGAAACTCACCAGCAATGCCACGCTTCCGAACGATGTGTCCTGTCCGTCAGGATTGGAACCTGCACAGATTTTCAATTTAGCTCAAAGTGCAAAGGGTTTAGGTTTAAGATTGGATTTATACACGTAAGCCTTTATATTGTCTTCACGACTATGGTGATCTACCTCAGAATCTGTCATCACTAAGGAGTTGGGGGAAGTCCCGCAGGCCTGAACACTTCATTTGGTATCTCTTGATGTCCGTGCGGTCAGGGAGCTGCCAGGTTTTTTTGACTGTATCTCTCTTCTGAACCGTTGTTCTCTGGAAGTTTGTTTTTTTTTAAATAATAAAATTGTGCCTGGTGACACACAGTGAAACGAGTCTCAAAAGACAATTGTTCACAGCCTGGCCTATGGCTTCTTTCTGCATTGGCAGATACGATCCAGAGTCCTTCGGCATTTTGTTCTGCTCGAGCCCAAAGCTTCAGTCGCTGGTGGCGTATGCTTTGTTTCTGAAGGTTTCATGTTGGAAGCTCTCAGGGCAGGGACAAAAATTGCTGGTGATCGCATTTCTTAGCGATACTTTTATCTACAGGAAGCTATCAGCGTTGCCTTTGTTAACCTGCGGCTGTCTGAGAAGTGCTTGTATACAGCGTATGCTTAATAACGAAAGTGTGCGTTACGGGCTTAAATGCGCCGATGTTTAGGGGGCGCAAGGGGCGCGTGCGGGGCGCGCGCCGCAGCAGTAACGCCGCACGCAGCAGCAGTCCTGCCCGGAGGAAGCCGTGCTTACCTTCCGTCAGCGGCAGCCGTGCCGCAGGCCGTTCCGCCTCCCCTGCGCCTTTGTAACGCCCGTCGCC